ATGCTGGAGCTCCCAAAGGATCTAGAAAACGAAAGTATGTTTCGATGTCCATCAAACAAAAACGAATTGCTACAAAAAATGGATAAAGCATATCCTTTGTTTATCTAACCGTTCCGAAATCTGTTTATCAATTTCACGCTGCTCTGCGCGGGGGGGGGGACGTCGCGCGCGCGCAATGAACTGGAAGTTGATCTGTCAACACTATCGTTATCTTCAGGGCAGATGTTTTTATTTTATTCGGCTTATAATTCCTTACTAAATGTAGTAGTATTTAATCTCGATGTACTCCGTCTTGATATATGATTTAAATCAAATTCCTCGTCATTATAAATATCACGAATACAAATCAAATAGTTTTCTGGTTGCAATTTTCTAATTTCGGCTATGCGTAAGGTATGCTTTACGCATCCGCGCGTTGAAAGAAATGTTTAATAAAGTAAACAAATAAATATTAGGCTTCTTTTTTTGGTAAATTTTGATACCCTTTAGATCATAATTGCTCATTATTTTATAAATTACGGTTTCATATTTTTAATTTTATAATTTCTGCATGCCATCTTACCAGATTTAAACTGATGATCTATAATCCGGAAAAATCGATAATCCGGAATCGCCGAAGTCCCGACGAGTCCGGATTAAAGACTTTTGACTGTATTTAGTAAATTTTTTTTTTTTTTTTTTGGTTTGGCATGGTGCTGTCTCTTGTGGTCAACGGGATTTTCCGTAAGTACCGAAATGGCATCTTTAACAATTTCTTTGAATCCTTTTATCTCCTATGAATTCATTGTCAGCTTCTGCTTGGCTGTTAGCATAGTTTTCTCTTTTCCAGTTCTGTTTAAAATTTTATCAAAAGATCAAGCGATTGCCTCTTCTTCCACAAAATCTCAAACTTGAACTGATACATAAATCAAATATTTCATTGTAATTTGTTACAGTGTAATGTTTTGTCTTTGTTGTTTACAATATGCAAAATGAGTTCCCCTGTAATTTTGTTTCTAAGCTTCAATGCCATCTTAATTTATCATTTCAATGAAGACAGAACTAGAAGACAGGATAGTCACCTTTATTTCCCCTTATAGCAGCATATTTTCATCTGAATAACTTAAAACATTTTCAGTAATCAAAATGCCTTTTTAAAGCAGATTTAATTTCTTTAAATGTTGCTTTACATGTGAAACAAACTCGGAGTAAAATCACGTTTAAATTTTTTTTTAGTTTGTCCGCATAAACTTTATTTTTGTGATGCATTGGCAGAGAATTCGCAATAATGAACTGGAATGCCTTTACAATTTACCCAGTTAAAAGAATTTTTTATTTTATTTCAAAATAAAAGTATGAATCAATCCTCACTTTTTATTTCCTTTTCTTATTTCTTTTCTTGTAACCTTATATGTTACTGATTTTTCTGTACCCTTTTTAAGTTATTACTGTTTTTGAATATTTCTCCAAACTTATTGCCAGCTTAGTTTACAGAGACCTCATTTAATAGAGGTTCATTTGTATTAAGCCAAAAGTGTACTTAAGATTTGAAGCTGTGTCCTAGGTATATGGGTAAATTGAAGTATTATAAAATAAAATTTTTCTTTCGTTGATTCATTTATTTCATATGCTTAGACAGAAAATGTAGTTCTTTAATTAAATTATGAAATATATTATTTAGTAGCAATAAGTATGGTAATTTTTTATGCTAAAAATTCAAATGATTTGATTTGATGTTCAGTATTGCTTAGTAAAAATTCGGTACTTTTCTATTATCAGGGTTGGAATCAGAAATGTATGCATGGGTATATGCACACATGCGTATGTACCTGCATGCGTGCATACACATGAGTTTTGTCTTGATAATAGAAAAGTACAAAAAATAATGTGCTTACATGTTATCTCATTGATCATGGAAGGCCATTTTTCACATTGCATCACAATTTCTTTTTTTAATCTGTCTTCAAATAAAGTATCATATTATGTCCATTAATACACATTTTGTCTGATGGTAAGATCCCATAATTTTGGAAATATGCCATTGCTTGTTATTTTAAAGAAGGCAGGTTTTAAGTTTTAATAAGTGCTTTTGCAGGTGCTGGAAAAAATATAGCAGTAAGAGTTAACTTATATCTATATTCATTAAAACAAAAGGGAGCTTATTCGGAATCAGTCTGGGTTATGTCAGACGAGGGTGCTGATATTGTGAGTAGGTTGTTACATCGCACTTATCTATAACAGGTGCTAAATTGGGCTACTTGGCAATAGTTTCACAATCAATGGCATAATATGTAGGTAGCAAATTTTCAATCAGCACATATCTTTTTTTGTGAACTGGGATAATTTTAGTTAAATGACCAGTAAATAATGTAAACGTGTTATAGTCCTTCTAATTAACAGTTTATACATGTAAGTATCGCTGTCCAACTTATCATAGCCCGCGAGCCATATTTTCTTCACCAGACATTTCGGGGGCCAAGAAGGTTGATAAATGAAAAGTCAGTTTATGTTAATTAAAATATTTTATTTATGCTAAAAAGAAAAATTTAAAATATTCGTAATATATTAATGAGAATATTGTGGCCATAATTGTTTAGCAAAAACATCTTTTATGTCCACATGAATATTAGTTGTGGCAAATTTAATTATATCTTCAAAAGTGGAATCTTTCAAACTGTTTCTATATTTTGACTTTATATATTTCATATTGGAGTATGCACGCTCGCAGATATATGTACTTCCAAACATTGATACAATTTGAAGTCCAAAATCTCTCAATTTTGGATATTTCTCTTTATCTAAAAATATGAATATTTCTATTCCAGTTACTCCACGAGATGTAAAAAATGGGTCAGTCTGTAGGTCGCATAATTCTGTTTGGTATTTAAGATCAACGGAGTTAATATCAATATTAATTGGATCACAAAATAAATCAATAGACGGTTTAAGATCATCAAATTGAGAAAATCTTTCATTGAAATCTGTAATTAGCATATCCGATTTTGGTAGAAATATTTTAAAATTCGCTTCTGTATTACATTCCTTCATTTCTTCATAGATCTCTTTGCAAGATTCAAAATGAAATAAATTATTTTGCTCCAAATTAAACCTTAACAATTTTAATTTGTTTCTAAATCCAGTAACATATTTATAAAGGCAACACACATTTTGATCTTGTCCTTGCAAGGATTTATTCAAAATATTTAAATAATTAGTAATGTCCATTAGGAAAGCAAGTGAATAAATAAAATTTTTATCAACTAAATTTGCTATCAAACTTTCATCGACAGCAATTTCTGTGAGAAAAAAATGAACTTTTTCAAAGTGTAAAGAATCTCCTCAAGCACTTTCCAGCACTTAACCAACGAACGTTACTATGTAAAAGCAGATCTCCATACTCAGTTTCCAATTCATCCAAAAATGTTTTAAATTTTCGGTGTGTATGAGAACGATTTCCGCTGCGAATTAAATTAGTAATTTTGTAAATCTTGTCCATTACGTCTTTTAGTGGTAGGGATAAACCACATAATGCCTCCTGATGGATAATATAGTGTAACATATGACATGTTATTCCTTCTTTTTGCAAAAGTCCCACGAACTCAATATTTTTGCCTTTCATAGCTCTAGCACCGTCGGTTACAATAGCAGTGCACTTGTCAAATCTGCCATACTGCTCTACTGAACATTTTAATTGTTTATAAATATCTTCACCTTTTGTTGCTCCGTGTAATGATTGTAATTTTAAAAGTTCTTCTAAATAATTATAGTCTTCATTTACAGTTCTTATAAAGATAAGCATTTGAGACTTGTATAAAAAATGTCTGTGCTTTCATTCAGTGCTATCGAAAAATAGCAGCAGCTATTTCTTAGGTTTTCTAATTTATTAGTGACATGCATGCTAATCTCATTTACACATTAGCTTACAGCCTGGTGAGAAAGTGATACTGTTTGAAATTTTCTTACCATTTCGTAGCCATTAAATGCTTGAGCCATTTTTATGGCACATTTTTTAATGAATTCTCCATCCAAAAATGGCTTCTTTGCCTTTACTATTTCTAAACAAACTTCAAATGATGCAGCTACAGATGCTTCTTGAAATTTTAGCTCTTGATTAAAATAAATCGTTTGATTATCCAGCTGCTTTTTCATTTTTTTCACTAGTGGTATTTTCATGTCTTGCGTGTACGAATGATACTTGTTTTCATGCATGGAAAGATAATGGTGGCCTTCAAGTTATATTCTTTACACACAGCTATGATTTGTAAACATTCCATACACTGGCTTACCATTCTTGTTCAGAATAAATAAATAATCTATCTCCCAGGAATCTTGAAATTCTTGATTTTCGAGGTCTACTTTTCTTTTATTAGTAGCACTCATATTCAATAATTATTTTAATTAATAAATAATTATAAAATTAAGTTAATAATATTATAACACAGTCACACCTCAACAAATTCGAGACAAGACGGCACTCGCACGATTGCATGAATCAACCAAATAGCGCAGGGTAGTGTGCGCATCATGTGCGCCAAACCATAGACAAAGAACAACCAACCACAAATATAATATGTGGTGCCAACGTTGAGCCAACCATGATCAGACGTTAAACGGATTGCTGCTGTATTCAGCCAGGTTAAGTGAAGTTACGCAAACTAAATAGTACCTACTTTAAATTCAAATTAGTTTTAAATTTTCACATAGTAAAATAATTTAATATGAATAATAATTTACTAACATAAATTTATTCATAGTAAAATGTACTCACGGGCCGTAAAAATAATTTGGCGGGCCGTATATGGCCTGCAGGCCGCTAGTTGGACAACCCTGCATATGAGCATTAATTATAGAAAATGTTTTGTACTCTTGATGAAAATGCATTCTTTACTTATTAATGAAATAGTAATCATTAATATATGCAGCATGTTAAATTTTCAATTTAATAAAGGAGATGGTCTGATCTTTGGTGAAATTTGTTTATGTTGTTATTTAAATAGCATCAGTGTTATCAATATTTATAGGTTCACAAGCCAGTTGAAAAAATTAGGAACATTGGCATTTCTGCTCATATAGATTCTGGGAAGACAACGCTGACAGAAAGACTCTTATATTACACTGGCCGTATAGATGAAATGCATGAAGTATGTAATTTTTTTAAGATTTATAATTATATATATATACAATATTGCTCAATAGGTTGTGCAATTAATTAAATAATCAAGCAGTCATAATTAAATCAAAAGTAAGTAGCCAACTAAAAAACAGGAAGAAAATAATATTATCCTTATATAATTCAGAAACCTAGTTCATTTGAAAATGTTTTGGCTGCTCCTTAAGAAGACCAAAGAATTTTTAATTATTTGTTATACAGTACCAAAGTCTGAAATCCAGACATCCAATATCTGGAATTAGCTAAAGTCCATACCACCAAACCCTTTTTTTTTTTTTTTTTTAATGCTTTGTGCGTGCACATTTGATATTTTTCATGATAAAATGTGGAGAATTCCAATTCTTAATTTCATTTTGGTGCTATATTAAATACTTCCATATTAAAGAAACAATCATATTATTGCATAAACCTTTATCATCAATAGTATAGCTCTATAGCTATATTTTTGCTAAGTATACATCTCAGACCGAAACATTCTACACTCAACATTGTTGGTTTTATACCTACTGAATAATTTATATCCCTGATGCCAAATCAATGAATCGTTATTTATTACACAACAGCTTGAGGAATAATGATTTCTAAACTTTTTTTAATATTAGTAATTGAATCCCATTGCGATGATTACAGATTTTAGCTAATTGTGTTAATAAGGGGAAATTTCTTTCCGTATGAAAAAAAATAAATTTTACAAAGGATACTCATAAGCCAAAAGATTGCATTTAATGCTGTTTAAATTAAAAGCAATTGATTTGTTATTCAGATAAACCCAAGGCAAGGGTGGAGCAGTTCTGGGCGGCAGAATTTAGGTGAGGCAAAAATTTTTTTTTAAATTTAGAGATGCCTCCAATAACAAAATTAGGGCATAGCAAAATCTGTACAATTTAGAAAAGGCACTGGGATACAAAATTTAAGCAAAATTTTTAGAATTTATGATGGTGCTTGGCAGCAGAATTTCGGACATGCAAAGACTTCAAAATATCTAGCCACTGGCTCCGTACAATCCTTAAGTATATGTAGGAATTTATTTATTTTTATCTCAGATAAGCCTTAAGCATATGCAAAAAATAGTCATAAGTATAGTCTATAATTAAACTAATATAATTCAGGCTTAACTTCATCAGTGTGCACAAATTTTATGATATATGTACAATAATGTATAGCAGAATTTAGCCAAGCTTTGTGATGATGACCATGAATTTGAAGGTTTTCAAATATTATAAACAAAAAGCAAAATTTTCGAATTAACAGAATTTATGAAGAAAGGGGAAAATGATACGAGGGCTATCCAGTAAGTAGATTACGTTTTGGAATAAAAAAATAAACAAAGTATAGGAAACAAATTTTATTATATACAGATGAAAGCCACACTCAAATACTACTTTTCTACATAGTCACCATACAAATTAAGGCATTTATCGTAGCGATGTACGAGCTTGGAAATTCCTTCGTCAAAAAATTCGGCCGCCTGCGCCTTCAACCACTTCGTTACCTCTTCTTGCAGCTGTGCGTCGTCATCAAAACGCATTGATTGCAATTTCGTTTCACAGTTCACATGTTTCACCCATGTTTCGTCACCAGTAACGATGCGATCGAGTAAAGAGTCACCATCCTTATGGTAAGCGTCCAAAAAGTTCAACGCTGCAGCCATTCGCTGATTTTTGTGGTCCTCTGTCAAGATTTTTGGAATCCATCTTGCACAAAACTTGTGGTAACCAAGCTTTTCGCTGATGATTTCGTGCAACAAACTTCGCGAAATTTGTGGAAAACTCAAAGAAAGTTCCGTTATTGTGAAATTTCGATTTTCACGGACTTTAGCATCGACTTTTTTCGAGAAGTTCGGCGGTCACTATGCTGGGTCTCCCACTTCGATCTTCGTCGTGAACATTGGTTCGGCCATTTTGAAATCTTATGACCCACTGACGCACTCCACCTTCAGTGAATGTTGTCCCCATACACTTCACGAAGCTGCCGATAGATTTCTATCGGTTTACAGTTTTTTGCAGTCAGAAACCTTATTACTGAGTGCACCTCGCAGCTCGCGGGATTTTCAATTAACGCAGACATTTCAAACCGTCACAGTATCTGAACGGAGCACAGCACGAACCTCTCACTAGCACGGCTAGATGCAGACTGAGCTGCGCAACGCTCTGACCCCAAGATGGCCGCGCTAGCCCCGCCCCTAGCGGACACAGATGGAAACGTAATCTACTTCCTGGATGGCCCTCGTAATAAACAAAGATGTTACTACAGGAGTTTTTCATTGGGTGACAGTGCTATAATCATCAGTCAACTAATGGATGGTGAAATCTGTATTGTAGCTCTAAGTCGAGAAAATGTTGCTATTGAGAGTGGAGAAAGTGACATAGAGGATGTTGGAAAAAAAAATTGATTGACAATTTAGTGGGAATTTTCAACATAACAATTACAGGATTTGTAACAATAGAGCTTTGTAACTGAACAAGAAATTATGTCTTTCTGTAAAATTAAAAACAAAATATTACCACAAAAAACTAAGCAACTTAAACAGCTTACATTAAAAGAAGTGGTAATAAAGCAAACAAATAAATATTGAGATTTTTATTTTGATTCCTTAAGATCAGAAATATTTCATTATTTCATAAACCGCTATTTCAGATTTAGGTAAAAATAACACACCGAACAAATATTAATTTAAAGGTCAAACAACAAAAATCAGCATTATGTGTACAATTTTTCACAGGACTAGTTTCGATGGTTTTACCGAATCATTAACCTCAGCTGCCAAAGAGCAAATGAATGAGATAAGATAAGAATGACTGGACAGGAGTTAAGCTACTGCCATTATCTATTGATGAAACAAGAAAACTAAAATATAATTTCCTTAAAGGCTGAAAGTAAAGATGGGTTGAAATTAGGGTCGTTAATTAGAACTGAGAAATTTTTTTAATGTGAAACACCTCTAGAAAATCTAATTCACCAATGGAAGACGTTTTTTGAATAATTTTGGCTGCAGAAAAATAGGATTTTGGACCAACAATGCTGTGCAACAGAGGACGTCTGTGTTTCCTTTTTTCTACATATGTCTCATGTTCTTTAATGCAAAATGCTAAGGCTCTCTTAGTTTGACGATTGTAAATTAAACCATACTGGCAAGGAATCCTGTAAATACCCCATGAATACATATCCAGAATGGGCTCCTTAAGTATAGAACTCAGAATTTTATTGATAGGAGAATAAACGACCTGAAAGTTAAATTTCTGTAAAATACACTCATTTCCAAAAGTTAAGCACGAAGATGTAAAATGCAAAAAAATCAACAAATACTTCTTTGATTCACACAAAATTCGGCAGGAAAGTAGCATGTATATTTATGCATAAACAAAATCAATAATTATATACAGAAATGAAAACAATATTAAATTTTTGTAAGTTATCAAATAATGAAATACTGGAGACTTAAACAGAATTATGTATAAAGTGAAAATAAATAGCATAAAATTAAAAAAAAAGACATTAATAGGGTATGTGATCCCCCTACCCCATCTGTATACAAAGTTTACACCTTGTGACCATGCTTTCAATTATGTGGTCAACTACCGCAGAATTAAGCAATCTTCTTGTAGAGCAGTTTCCAGCTCAGTAAGAGTGGCTGGAGGTGAGAAACGTGAAGATACGCACGGCCGAGAGCATCCCAAAGATTTTCAATGGGATTAAGGTCGGGCGAATATGCTGGCCACGCCATACGTGCAATCCCTTCACTCTCCAGGTAGTCATTGACGATGTCAGCTCTATGGGGACGTGCATTATTGTGCATTAAAACAAAAGTAGGGCCAACTGCTGCAGCGTACAATCTCACAATGGGTTCTAGGACTTCATCTCGATACTGGACAGCCATCAAAGAACCCCGTTTAAAGATGTGCAGGTCGGTGCGGTATCCTAATGAAATCCCTGCACACCATAAGGCTTCAGCCTCAGAATGCGTGATGTTCGGTGATATTTTGGGACTGCTTGCATGTTCGTTGTTCACGCCATATCCTTAGATGCTTGTCATCTGGCTCCAGAGCAAATCTTGACTCATTAATAAACATGACATTGCCCCAGTCAGACACATTCCAATTGCCATGTTCCTGGCACCACTATAATCAGTCCCCTCTTCATTGGATGAATAGAGGGAACATAAACTCGAGGTACCCGTGTGTACAGTCCACTCATATGTAATCTTCGGCGTACAGTAGCTGTAGATATCGCCTAACCAATGGACGCTGTAACCATAGATGTCGTGTGGAGGTCGCTCTGCGATTCTGCTTGGCTACAATATAAATATATCGATCTTCCACGGAGGTTGTAAAACTTGAGCGACCGGCTACGGGCCTTCGGACAACTGTCTGTGTGGTTTGGAATTGTTTCCATAAACGTGAAATTACAGAATGATGAACGCCGAAGAAAAGAGCAACATCTGTGATCGACTGTCCTGTTTCAATGCGCCCCACAGCAAGCCAGCGCTCAGAATCTTCCATTTGTCTTCTGGAACTCATAGAAACACGTATGTCTTGAAAACAAATTGTACGAAAGTTTTAAACACCTGCTATCAGCACTTACAATCAACTTCTTCATAAAGCTGGCTTCTTATAAGACTGCCTTTTTTGCATATTCTTGATATGAAAGTGTGATTGGCTGTTACTTAACATATTTGCATACTTCCATCTACCTCTGCAGCGAATTGCATCCTCTTCAATTCTGATTTGCTTCCGGAAATAAGCATTTTCCTCTCTGTGCTTAACTTTTGGAAGTGTGTGTACATGCAATATTATAGCTAATTGATGGAAAGAAAGGAATGACAATAGAATTCTTATAATCTCCTAACACACCACACTTCAAAGTCTTTTTGGTGTGCTGAGATGAGAATATTTTAATTTATTGGTTAATAATGTTGGGTGGAAAGTCCCTATCAATAGCTACTGCTTTTAAATAATTTAGTTCTTGATCAAG